AACAACCATTGACTAATTAGTCAGCAAATGTAGACCAGCTCCAAATTTTGCCCACATAAATTACTTCACCAAATATGAGGAGAAAAGGTAGAGAACTGTCAAATAGATGCTGCAAAACGTTCCCCATCATCATCTAAATTATATATTTTTATTTCTTATCTCGAGGCAGGGCACAACAAAGTTAAAAACACATAATTATAAAACATTATGTACCTATATTAAAATGTATTTATATGAAATACATATATTAAAATACACAGGTAATATAACAACAGAGATATTGCAATGTATTTTTAAAAACCACCTTCAATAATAAAATATTAGAATAAAGGTAAAAGTACATGAGGGCTAAACGTGATTGGGTGCATCAGAGTACCATGTTAGCCATGTGTTATAGTAACGAGGCAAATCCTTACAGCTGACTGAACCAAGGAGAGAACACACTTAGAATGTGGCATTAAGTTTGTATATCACTCACCCCAGCTCTGACTTTTGAGAAGGAGTATTTTTATATATGGCATTTAATTGTTGTCGATTTGTACGCCACCCTGAGTCACCTTCAGGCTGATATGGGTGGGATAGAAGTGATGTATGTAAATAAATAAATATAAGGAGGAATCTTGACTGCTTCCCCTGTTACCCATCATTCCTCTCTGTGACTCTGATTGTCTTATTTTCTATATGGATGCATTGTACACCTTCACCAATACATAAAAATAATACATTATATCAAGTAGCGACTACAACTCTGTTTTATAAAGTAAGCTCTTCCTCCTCCTCCTCCTCCTCCTCCTCCTCCTCCTCCTCCTCCTCCTCCTCTTCTTCTTCTTTTAGGTCAAATAAGTTTCATTTTGTTTTCAAAACAAAAGAAAAAACTCAAACAATACAAAAAGAGAAAAAAGAAGGGAAAGATAAGAAATAAAAGGATATAGTATGTAAGTTATGGACCCATGTTAGTTAAATAGTTCTAAAATAAGCCCATCTTTTGAAACCCTGTGCGATTTGGAGCACTTCAGTGGGTTTGTTGAAAAGGAAAATTCACAAATGTAAATATACAATAGAGAGAGAGAGAGATAGAGAGGGAGAGAGGGAGGGAGATGATTTTAGTTTGCCAGTTCATTGTGTCATTATAAAAAGGAAGGTGACAGCCTGCTTTCTAACAATCTGGTCCATGTCTATCTGTTAGTGATCTCTATCATATACATACAGTGACAGTGTGGCAGGCTACTGGTGAATACTGGATTTTAGAAATTATTCTTGCCATTAGTCACTGTGCTTCTGTAACCTCAAAATTGGATCATCTGGCAGTGAGATAATCAGAAGCCTGAGGAAGCTGCAACATATTGTAAACACATGCAAATTAATGAGTTTAAGTCCACATCTCACCATTGATTGGAAAGTAATTTAATAAGAGTGATTGTCATAACGAGGATATGGAAAAAAGATGACAGGAAGTTTTTTGAAAAATCTAATCAAGAGCAAGACTAATCAAACACTGTTCATTGTGTAAATATATTTTTATAAAATTCTCAAACTTATTGGAAAATAATCTGTTCTTTCAAATTGTTTTATAGGTTAGGTCACCCTTGCCTTTGTAACTTGAAATGTGCATTAGTTATGATGGAACACTGTTGGTGATTTATACTGGTTAAGTCTTTTTTTAATGGCAGCACACTTATGGGAAAAAGACACTAGAGCAGGGGTCCTTATACTTTTTAAACAGAGGGCCAGGTCACAGACCATCAAACTGTTGGAGGGCCGGATTATAATTTGTAAAAAAAATGAATTAATTCCTATGCACACTGCACATACCTTATTTGTAGTGTGAAAAACACTTAAAAGCAATAAAATAATTAAAATGAAGAACAATTTTAACAAATATAAACTTATTAGTATTTCAATGGGAAGTCTGGGCCTGATTTTGGCTGATGAGATAGGATTGTTGTTGTTGTTGTTGTTGTTGTTGTGTGCTTTCAAGTAATTTCAGATTTAGGTTAACCCTGAGCAAGGGCCGGGTGAATGACCTTGGAGGGCTGTATCCAGCCCCTGGGCTTTAGTTTGAAGACCCCTGCACTAGAGAAACACTAGAGAACATTCAAAGAAATATATGAAGGAAACCAGGGAACATATCGAGATACTAAAAAGATGGTCTTTATCATCTAAAAAACCCAATACGTTTCTACCTTTGATCACTATATAAAAAATCATTAAGACCAACACTTAAGTGTATAATATCCAGTTTCATAAGAGCATAAATATATTTTATTTTAAGATTTCCAGATGGTCAGATTCCTCATTTAGTTCTGAAGCTCATCTAGTGAGCCATTTTTAACAACCCTTTCTTGCTACTGATTTTACATATTGATAAATTGTGGGGAAGTTTCTTTTAGTTGATTATGGAGTTCTGATGAAAAAGGAATAGATCTTAAAATTTGTGTCATCATATATAAGGAAATTGAGCATTCACAGGGGGCACCTCCACACAGTGCCAAAATGCAGGACCAAGAAGTGGGGCAAAAAATTATGGGACCTGACAGCAAATCCAAACACAGAGCTGTCAGTTCTGGTAAATAGTTCCCTGCGTTCCTGACAACTCCATTTGTAGCAGAATTTAGAAAGCTGCAAGATGAAATTCTAAGTGTATTTCCATAGGTCTAATAACTTGTAACAAGTTAAATTTGAATTTGAAACTTCAGTAGGGCAGACATTTGTTTTGTGTCAGCTTTTCTCAAATCCCATACGCATCAAAAATTGGGAGCGGGACTCTTTTCTCAGACATAAGGGCTGATTCACACAGCACACTCATCAGCTGATGACTGCAACATTAAGCAACTAAACGCATCAATGAGCTATCAGAGATTTAATGCTAGAGATGGGACTTTGATAGCACCCAATGTCACTTTGATATCACTCAAAAACACATTCTTTTTCAGTGGGATTGGTTCATACATTCAGCTTTTAGTTAAACAAGTGAGAAGTTAAGTGAGGAGCACACATGTGTGAATCAGTTCTTAAAAGTACAATAAGTTCATTTATACATGTTAAAAACCAAATTGAGGATAAGATCCAAATAATATCATATGGATGCTGTGTGTGTCTTCATGAATGTGAAAAATGATATAACCAATGCCAAATAATACAACTGCCTAGTATATGGTTCAAAAGACGTAGATAAAACTGTTTGTCAGGTTTCTAAGAAAGTGGTTAAATGTGTTATAGCTATCCAATTACAATCCCCCATGTATATGTGGGGGATGTATTCCAAGACCTCTCATGGATATCTGAAACTTTGGATAGGAACTAACACTGTATTTTGACTATACCTGAATGGTAGTATACCATAGAAGCACTCAGGAGGCCTACAAACAGGGGAAAGGAA